GAGGGGGGGTGAGGGGTGGGGGGGGGGGGGGGGGGGGAAATCTGTTCAATCCCACTTCAAAAATTGCAAACATAAAGCAAAATAAATAAAACCACAATGAATAATAATAAAAAAATATTACAAGTACTAAAAAGTTCACTAGCCATCTACATAAGCAAATAAAGGAATGAAGAGAGCTGTCAGGTGGCGAGGATGGAGTCAAGACAAGGTAACTGAGCTATAAACCCTCAAACTGTTTCAGCTTTCAACACTGCAAAAATACTTGCTAGCAGTTACGGCATCTAAAGAAGCAATACTCAAACAACTTTACTGTGTTCAAGCTAGGCCAGAGCACAGCAGCAGAGGCTGGGGGGGGGGAACTCAGCTAATTCTAATATAGCAGAATTTCAGCAGAGCCTGAAACTTCCAGTCATTCAGAGTCCTTGCCTCCAGTAGGAAGGAGTTCTGACTGCATCTTTAGACATAACTGGTAGTTCTCAAAAAGATGACCGTTCAAGACCCTGTTGCACACCTAACTGCCTCCTTCCTGAAGGAAACATTCACAGCAAGTGCCAGATAAACTCAGTTCCAGGGCCCAAGAGCAGAGAGTCCGGCCAGTCTCTGACAGAAGGGCAAACTCCACTTCTCCCCCATCCTGCTATCACCTATAGCTCCCGCCAGCTTTCAGCTCCAAGCTTTTCCTCTCTTCTGCAGGCCAGAGGCAAGAAGGCTGGAGCTGTCACAGAAAACTAAAGAGATTGTAGGAAGAGCTCCAGAGGCCAGGCTGATTGTCTTTCCACCAGACAGGGCAGAGCTCTTGGAGCCAGCAGAAAGGTGCAACTGTAGCTGGGGAAGTGAGCCGCAAGAGTCCTGTCTATGCCAGCCCGAGCCTGCCCGTAACGGTTTCAGGCAGCAAATTGGAGCATCAAATGCGAGCCAAGCAGGCAGACACCTGTTTGAGCTGCACAGGAGCAGTATGTAATATATATCCTGAAAGTTAATACAACTGTGGAGCAAACCTACTACAGAAAAGTTATGGTCCTTTTACTTTTGAGATTGGGGTAAGAAAGAATCACAGATCCAATACTTATCTCTCACCGTTTGCCAAAAATACAGAAGTACATAATTCAGCTCACCTTTGACATCCACGCAGAGGTGAAAGTTACAGGTTTTTAACTGCAAGCAAGAACTTCAGCTGACAGGAGGATGGCTGCTATTGACAAACCAGTAACATAGCTGGAGTGACATTGCCTAGATCTCTGAATAAAAACAGCACCACCTTGAAATTTTTCATTTCACAAGTCTATCCCCTTCTCTCCTCATAATTTTTGGACCAAAAATACCCAGATAATTTGGCTCATGTTTTTAAGTATGTTTAGAATGACCAAATCACCCTTTTAAAAATTAATAAACCATCGGCAAAAATATATCCAGTGTTACCTTTGAGATGCCTGTATTTCAAGGAACTGCATCACTTACCTTGCCAGAAACACCTTCAGTTACATACTTATCTAAGATTACTTCTTTCTTTTCTTTTAATAAGATGCTACATCTTTTGTTCTGTACCTTGTACTCCCTGCAGTGACTTTGCCTTTCTCCTGTAGGCTTCTTTAAGCACTGTCGACCACACTTCTCTCTAACGTCCCTTAAAGCAGAAAAAGATGAACAAATCGTTTCTCTGCAATTAGTTAAGAATTTTACTGCTCTGAGACATGCCTGCGAATTAAACCTATGAATTCTTTGTAATTCCCCTAGAACACAAATTTTAGCATGGTGGGGCCAAAATGCTCCCAGAGTGTTTATTATTTACCTTTTTAACAAAATCAGCACAGACAGAAGCTTTAAATCCTGCATGCCAAACCCCAACAGCTTACACATCCAAATAAAATCCTTTACATTCAAGAGGTACTTGCCCTTCTTCACGGGATGCAATTAGAAAGGAAATAACACATCCTGAAGTGGGCAAGGTAGAGTGAGATAAAAAAAACCCACAAAACCACACAAAACAGGATGAACGGCCACTACATCACCATTTTCACCATACCCACAACCTCAACGCCTATGTACAGTCAGAAAAGTGTAATGAATATTTTCTTAAAAGTTTATTTTCTAGAAATTACCAAACAACAAAAGTAAACACACACTTTAAACCGTTCTCTGCAGCATGTTTTTCAGTTTTATTTATAAAAACAGATGCTCCTTTAAAGTGTACAGTTAAAATCACAACTGTAAATTCAACCACAGCTGAATATTATTTCAATAAAATATTCCTATCAACTGATGTAAAAATTCATTTGATTGCGATTTAAAACTCTATTCAGCTGGAAGATAAACTTATCAATACATTACTCATTCAGCGAATATTTATCACACACTAAAAATACACTGGGGTCCCCCCTGTTCATAGCAATGCCATGAAAATATTTGCTCATCAACTCATCTTTTAAAAACATAATTCTATATTTATGAATACAACAAAAAAAAACTTGCCAGCAAAATCCACCAAGGGTTTCCAAACTGCTGACGCCCCCACAGGGGGTAGTAACTGCATCATTATTGTACTTGTGTGTTTTCCCTTTGATCACCAAAAAAAGTGACCTTCCAAGCAGCTCTAAACTGTCTGCAACATTTTAATTATGCCAGGCAAAACAAAGTCACATAGCCAAAACAGCATGTGCAAATCTGGCTGCAGTATCTGCTCCATTGGTCTTTCAGATCAGAACTGGATCTCACTTCGACTACTCCAGCAAACTACAAAAGGACTGAAAGATTAATACAAACTGAAGTAAAAACTAGCAGTTCCTGAAAACTTACGGAAATGAAGTCCTTCCCAAAAGGCTTGATAAGGCATTTGATTGCAAAATGTTGTGGTTCTAGTGGGGTAAAGAGTAGCTTGGGAAACTGTTTTTTGTCCTAAACCTGGTTTTGCAGCCAAGACCATTTGCGTTTTTGGGCAAGTAATTTAGTTTCATTATCACACATGGCACTGATTCACCCCTTCATTCCTCTTATATTCTTCTCCCATACCATATTTTTTTCCGTAACCCAGGACTAGTGTAGTCCCAGACAAGGAATCTTGCACTTAAGATTTAGCCAGGCTTACAAACTTTGAATTCAAACTCCTAGGCACATGCACCTTCCTTATATATGGTCATAGGGTATGGTGTTCACAGCACTACAAAAACTGTCTAGGATTTATGTTGCTATATGATCCTACTGGGCACAAATTCATAGTAGTAGGTGGTACAAGAAGGGTTAACATCTCCAGACAAGAAACACATTTAATACGATCAAGTTTCTACCTACAGGTCAGAATCTTGACCACTTGTAGCAAAGACAGCACAGGATACAGTGAGTAAAGATCCCCAAATTATACTCCTGGGTTTGTTATGAGCTGGGGCTATGCGTCTGTGCAAGTCCTTTGTGTCTCTGCCTCTTTTTATACAACTGGGATAATGATAGTCATCTTTTTGACATCTTTCCAGACCTACGGATGAAAAGCGTTATTCAAGTGTTAGGTACATATTACCATTCTCCTAAATGAAGTCTCACTGTTTTATAAAATGAATGACGTATGCCTGCTAAGACATCACAAACCATCTCATTTTCATACTCAGGAAATAAACAGTAGAAATTATGTACAGCAGAAGGGTTGATTATCTAAGCTTTCCTTCTGGCTTACATTTTTAAACTATTTTGAAGGAGATGGCCGTCCTTACCTGGAGTATTCAACTTAATCTATTTCACTAAGTCTCAAAATACACTAAAGCAGTCATTTTAATTTAAGCACAGCTAACTAGAATGGATTCTAGTGCATCAGTCTAATTTGACAGTTTTGTTAGTTAAAAAGCTTCCCGATTAAGAAAAGAACCTATACTCAAAGCATCATATTACATGTTTTAGAGCAAGTATTTTAGGTAGTGTGGTTATAAAGCAGAATGACATATTTGGAAAGTGCTGGAAAAACACTAGGACAGGTATAAGGCATTGCCCACATTTTCCTACTTGAATACATAACTTGCTATATGTAAACACCTACCAAAGTCTCTTATTTTAAGAAGTGTTTAAAGTTTGAACACAAAAAGTACTGAGGATGTGAGGACCTCTGCTGATTTACAACACTTAAGAAAAAACAAGTTCAAGCTGAAAAAACTGAAAGACAAAGAAAGAAAAGCAGCTTAAGAATAAATAGAAAGCAATAGGTATACAGAGGGCAGGCAAGCATACTGTAGGAGAAAAAAAAAAAAAAAAGAACACTGCCTGAGTCAAATTAGCCTTGAAAACTTAAAATTCTGTAAAAATAAGTTTACTTGAAATAAGTTTTAATGGAAAAGATTGCCAATGAATTGATTTTAAAAAGTAACAAAAACCTTTAGATAAATACAGTTTTCTTTCAATGATTTGCAGATCACAGTATTTTTAACTTACTCAACAACTTGAAGCTTACTAGTAAATGAAACTGAAAAAGTGAAAATCCTTCACATAGCAGAAAAGGAAGAGTTACACAGAACAAAAGGGTGAGTAACATGTCACATTCTAAAACTCTTTGTGGAGAAGGCCAAGGGGATTAATAACACCACAAAGAAAATCTGATTACATCCAGCTTTTGATAAACAAAGGGGAAATCAGGCAAAATTTGCTAGGTTTTAATGAAGCGCGTCCTGTTTGAAGAGCACTTTGAGACATTCAGCTTTAAGCTAGAAGTATTAATATGAGAACAAGTCCTTTTACAAACTGAAAGGGAAAGTGGTTACCACTTTCTGAACAACAAACTCACACTATGCACAAACTCATTTTTCGTCCATGGATTTCAAAAGCCAGAGACTGAAGAAAGAGGTTAAAACTGGTACAGGAAGTCAACAGTGATAAGAAATAATAAATATGTGGTTTGATGTTCAAGTTTTGCCCCACAACATATGACTTCTCAAGAAAACAGAAGAAATGAAGCTCAATCTCTTTTTCTTTTTGGCATCACCACAACAAAAACAAAACAGGGAAATGGCTCAAAATTTCCTATTTGCTATGTCTGGATTCAACTCATCTAACTACTCTAATACAACAACAAAAAAATTAAGATACAAGTCAGCCTTCCAGAGCAGTAGCAATGTAAGATAAAAGATTGCATGTAGCTACTTGAACTGATAACTAGGCCATAGTGCCTTGTTAGAAAAGGTTTTTTCATGTGTATTTTATTAAAAAGCAGATCCTGTATAAGGAAGTAACTCCTGAATTGTTACTTCTATTTTTTTTGATTGCTATTTAGAATTTAATCTCTAACAGATTTGTAAGCCAGCTACCCTCAATTAATTTTAAAACACCTATCCTGAGAAACACAGCTTTAAAAGCAAAAGCTATAAACCAGCTTGGTTCCAACACACTTATAATGAAAAACATAGGGAATAGCTTTGCTTCTTTCCACTTCAGTTTATTTTTTTGATGGGCACAAGTTGGTGAAAGGCATTTTGATGCAGAATAACTTGGCCAGTTTTCAGCTGCTCATTAAAAAGACTATTGGATTCTCAAACCAGCTACAGTGATTTAAGAGCCTCAGAATATTAGGATCTTCAGTTTAGTCCTTTAAATACTGAACAAACAAAAGTGAAGAGCACTCTGTTGTAGCTTGGTTTCAACGCGTATACCTTACTTGGAGAGTAAACATGCTCTGATCTGTTCGGTTCATCACTATAGGTTCTTAATCACTGCATCTTTTCAGACTCTTACTTGTCAAGATCAAACAAAAAACACCCAAAACCAAAACACCTTTGTATTTGCTCATCATCGAGCAATCGAAAGTTAGAAACATAACCCATTCTGCGTCGAGTCTGTGAGGTCAGGAAAGGAAACAGCCTCCCAGTGAAAGATTGTCTTCAAAGTCATGCCAGGAGTGGAGGAGTAATGGAGGAAGATTTAGTTTCACATGTGCGACTGCTCATGTTGGGAAGAGATAGCCAGATAGATTCACCACTAGTATGTAGCAAAGCCAGAGGAAAAGAGAACGGGAATTACACCAAGCAGTTTTACTGACACAAGTGCCGATGTCTTCAGCGCTGCAGGAGCGGAGACTATTTTCCCTTGTTTTCCATATTGTCATCAGCCATTGCAGCCTCACAACTCGCTTCCATGATGTCACATGTAACACAGCCCTTTAAAAAGGAACAAGAACATAGTAATTTAAATTCTCCTTCTTAGGAGTATATTTCAGAGTCAAATCCTGATAGCATGACATGTTGCAATCTCCTGAAACCTCTCACCAATGGGCTGAAATCTCTTTAAAAGCAGAGATTATACAGATACCCTATTTTCAGAAGCAGGTACTTGCACCTCCAACTTATCTTGTCTCAGAAGTGAATTCTTTGGTTAGTGGAACATACAGTTTTAGCTTTGAGATAAAAAGGCATGTGACTTCCTTGAATTTGAAGGCCTTATCTTTCAGCTTTATAAGCAAGCTGCTCATTAAGGATTTGGACTGTAGACTGAACAGCAACAATACCGACCAACAAAAGAAGGCTGAAATGCTTGAGTGTATTGACAGAACAGATTTTTCTTGTTCTTGAGAAATGGTATGATATTGAAATAAAGTATTAAAATAGAAATCCTGCATTTCTTTCTACTGTCAGAAGCCTGGTTGCATTTGCAAAATGACAATCTATATTGGAAACATGACCTACTGCTTAGGAACAGTTTTAGCACCTCAGATATCAAATATTTATATTTGCATACCAATACATCTCATAACATTTGAGATGTAAACATTCAACAGAATTTTCTGCGAGACCACTGGACATCATTTTGCTATCTGAATCAAACACGTGGTCCTAACCACACTAGGACACACAAGATTTTTGTCAACAAGGTATTAGGAAAACAAAGACTGGTTTTCTGGTCTTGTTCCAGAGACAGAGATTTCTCAATTTTTCTGCTCTAAGAATAAGTACCACAGCTCAGAACGCCACATTTGAAAATACTAGCACATAGAGCATGCAGTACTATAACAGGCATTAGATTTTTCTGCTGCATGAGTACATGAATGCAGCCCACTCTGCCTTGACATTTTCTGTACAACTTGTCATTGGGAGCTCTAGATACTGGTGGGACTAGTTCTGCCTTGCTCTTTTCTTCTCCATAGCACCTGGGAGCACTTTAAACTAATTAGGACATTCTCTAACACATACTAATATACATCAGAAGTAGTTTATCAGACTGCCCAAGAGTTATACCAGTTAAAATTATCAGGCATAAGATACCAAAGTTCTTAAAGAATGAATCCACCTACAAGAAGCCAGCTATTTTTGTGTTTCTTACTAGATGCCTGAACCTCCTCTGTGATTATGAGCATTTTTCAGCTTGCTGAACATACTTGCTCTAATCTTCAATAACATTCCAGTGTTAGGTGCTATTCAATCATAGCAGCAATCAACTTCATAAGAAAAAGAGCAAAAAGACAGAAAAACCAACAGAAAAAACATCACTAGGTATGGACTCTTATGTGAGAGTGTGACACTATTCCCATTCATCCAACAGTGTGACTGAAGGAACTTTCCTACAGGTGGTTCCTACACAGAATTTGCATATCTTGCAAAAAATACAATGGAAAGACCTGTATTTTGTCATTTCTCATCTGGCTAGTGTACTCCAGCTCATTTCCTTCTTATATTTACAAGTAATAAACATCAGTGACCCCAGCACTATAAGATCACGTTGGTTAGAAATGGCACCGCCTCTAGCTAGCCAAAGCATGACTAAGCTGCTGATTCCTTTCACAACTCCTTACTTGGGTGCTGATTTGCAGCGGGACAGTCTGGGTCCGGATCCACGTATGCACCTCTGCAAGCTCCTTCTTTTGCCCATCTGTAAACCAAGGCTGCTGCTTTCGCATAACTATCAGCTTCTCCAGATCCTCCTTTAAAACTTCCTCTTTAATTCTGCAAGTAACAGACACCTGTGAACACAGCTGTACTAAATGAAGCAAGGCAGGCACTGATTATAATCACATTGGGAGAGTCTCTCCACCAGTATAGGCAGCATCAGCCATTGTTATACCTTATTTGCTTCTTTCAACACTGGTCTAACTGTCAGGGGTTTTTTGGTTGTTATTTTTGTTAGGGATTTTTGGCTGTTTGGTGTGGGGTTTTTTTGTGGGTTTTTGTTTGTTTTGTGTGGTTTGGTTTTTGTTTTTTTTTTTAAATGTGGAATCTCATTACAAATTATATATAAACTAATTACAAGCAACTTGCAAATAACACTTAAGTATTTTTACCCCCTTATGCATTCAAAGTACAGGACAATAAACAATCCCCTTAACTTCAGCAAAAAGGTTACACATTACCATATTTTAACTGATGGGAGAAATGGGGGAAAAAAAAAATAGACAAAGGAAATAACCAGGGCGTAAAATACACAAACAGTACATTAATACCAATGAAACTCCAAGAAGGTGCATGTGCATTATTTCCATGGTCTCATTTTTAATTCTACAGTTCTATGCACAATTCCAAACTACATGTCAGAAATTGTTGAAGTTTTCCAACCTGTTAGGCATTTGGTAAGTCATTAGAACTCGCTCAGGTGTGTGATCCATCATCATCCTGGCTGACTCATGGTTGGATTTATGAGCTGTCCCTTTTTCTTCTGCTTCTTGATTCTTCTCTTCCTTGGAAGCTTCAGAAGAATCATTACTGGCAGAATCCTTGCTGCTTTTGCCACTACCTGTTGACAATTACCATGAAAAAAATGAATGCAGATGCCTGAGAAATCCTAGTAATTCAGCACAAAAAGTAAAAGAACACCAGTGTATTCTTGCAAGCTCGTTCTGTAATATGAACACAGGTACTCCCAGATGATTGCTCTGGCAAGTGATTACTACCTATCGAGAATTCAAAGATAAAGGGCATTCTATTAAGTTACTCAAGATCCCCAAAGCTCTATTTGCTCTTCTCAAAATTAATTAGGTCAACTTCTCTGCTTCTCTTTCAAGAGGTCCTGCTCTAGGCAGATTTACCTTTACTCAAGTAAGATGTAAGCCAGTATCTAATGCAGAGAAAAGTGATAATGAACAAAATTAAAGAGTGACTTACAGGTTAAAGGAATAGCTTCTTAGATTCCCATTTCTAACTACTGAAATAAACTTGGCTTCAAACACTTAAAGCTGGTGAAAAGTAAAGACTACAGATCCTCTTACTGGGATTTCCCATTCTCATTACAGTATCTTGTTTTGAATTACCAACATGTGAGCAAGCCATCTAGCAGCAAAGCACCAAACATCCAAATCTCGAACTTCCCTACCTGTGCCACAACCAGAAGTCTCGTTGGAGCCAGAGCCTAAAGAACCAGACAAAGCTGATCCACTGCCCAATGCTGCTGAACCTGTACCCAACTGGGAGTCCTCATACAGCGAGCGGTCAGTAAATTCACTAGAAGCACAATGACTAGCACTGTTACCACCATCTTCTGGATCATTGTCCTGGAAACAAAAATCAAAACAAACACATCCATGGAAGTTACATTTAAGTTTGAAAAAGGAAGTTTGTGCATTTACTGAATTTGTCACATGTTCACTAAGTTCTCATGTCAATTCAATAGGTTTGGAGTTTCTAGCTCTGAAAATGAACGGCAGTCTAGAACTCAGGATAACACTCTTCATGGGTGAAATCAACAAACATCTGGACTCTAGTTTACTGGTTTCTGCTGTAGATCCTTCCCCACTGGGTCAAGATATTGTACTGTTGCGTTAAGTTAATATTTTCTGCTGACAAGAGAGGAGTCAGTTCCCTTCGTGTCCTGTTAGATGGCATGAAGCAGCCACACACATCAAGCAATGGTGCGCCACAGGGAAAATGAGAGAGTCTTCCCCTGATTCACTATGTGAAGCTCACCGCTTCAGCAGCTACAGGTAGACCAACTCCCCTTTCAGGACCCTACCCTGCAGTTTCAGCTGATCCAGCCTTTCCAGCCCAATCTGGATTCAGGAGCCAACATTTTTTTCCTTGCCTGCAGAGCTCAGATTCCTGCCTCTGAGTTTACCGCGGAAGTTGGAGAGGCCTTTTCTATGCCCATGTATGGAAACCGACCCACACGGATCCCTGTTCTTCGTTCATTAGCTGCATCCCTGGGAGACAGAGGGAGTAATTAGAAGTTTATCTTCCCTTTGTTTTGGTTCTCCACAGAGACTGTGGGACTGGGTGAAAAAAGATGCGGATTGCGCAGCACTAACCAAGTTCCACATGCATAAAAGCCCCAAACCCAAAATTCCTGCCAACAATTTAATTGAAAAGGCTGCTGCCAAAATGCTGAGCAAAAGCAGCTTGTGGCAGCCTAGACCAGAAGATCTCACATTTCTGTCATTTGCTAAGTGCCAACACTGTACTGTTACAAGTTCCCATGGGCGCAAGTATAAACAGCTTTCTTCGCCTCCTGTGCTATTTGTGCCCTGCAGTCTACATAGCACAGTCACTGGAAAAAGCAGCTAGCAAAATCTGGTGACCCTGAAACACAGATCATCATCACTGGTTTTGGTGACTGAACACCGTGAACATCAAGAGTTTCTCCTCTACATTAAAAATTCCTCTTACTTACACATTTAGCTTCTGCACGTGCTCTAACATCAGTACTAATGGAAAGCTCCATAGGTTTTGGCAGTTCTTCTTGAAGCAAATTCAGCTGAAGTGGGGAACTGCTCCGTGAGCTACTCAGCAGTAGGGCTTGGTCACGCTGGCCCTCCATGGATGTGGCAGAAGAGGCTGGAAAGGGCTGATCCACAGAGTGCAGTGCTATTGGTGATGGAGCAGAAGGAGGGGGGGCTGGAGGTAGTGTAGTGCATGGATATGAAGAGGGGGGATAAACATACTGAGGGCTAGGAAGAAAGACGTATTGAGGCATCTGGGCATACATGGGGAAACCCTGAAAAAATACAGCCATAAACATGCCTATGTTTGGGGGATGAAGCGCTGGGCATGACTGTGCTTCACAGCATAGTTGTGATGATGACACGGACTCAGGTTTTAACGAGTGAAGGACAAGCTCCTCTCCTACAGAAGAGGCTGGAAAACTAGATAGTGGATCCGAATAGACAGGAAATCCCAGAGGAGGAAGGACATTCATACTGGAGGAGCTCAGATAGGACACTTCTGAAGGAGAGAATGACTGTTTCTGAATTGTTCTCTTCTCACATGGAAGACTATTTCTATTTTTACTAGAAGAGTGGCTATCTGAGGGCTGTCTCTGAGGTTTCTGGCGCTTGAATTTTCCATGTTTGCCTTTTTTACAGCTAGCTGGGCTCATCTGCTTTGAAGGGGAATCTCCTAAGGAGGAAGAAAAATAGACACATTCACTGAAATGACAGACCTGGGGGGAGGCGGGGGGGGGAGGAGGCAGAAAAAGAAAAAAATAAAAAAAAATAAAAAAAAAGAGAGAAAAGAATCCAGATTTCTGAATTGTTCTCTTCTCACATGGAAGACTATTTCTATTTTTACTAGAAGAGTGGCTATCTGAGGGCTGTCTCTGAGGTTTCTGGCGCTTGAATTTTCCATGTTTGCCTTTTTTACAGCTAGCTGGGCTCATCTGCTTTGAAGGGGAATCTCCTAAGGAGGAAGAAAAATAGACACATTCACTGAAATGACAGACCTGGGGGGGGGGGGGGGGGGGAGGAGGCAGAAAAAGAAAAAAATAAAAAAAAATAAAAAAAAAGAGAGAAAAGCATCCAGATAATTGAGTGTGGCTTATTTGGAGAGCTGACTTTCCTCTGGGTATTTCTTCCATACACCACAGTGATGGATTTGCTGACATATCTACAATATTTTCCTTCATGTCATCAATTTTCTTATCCATCAATTTTGGCTTATCCCAATCAGATCTCTTACATTCCTTCAAGGGGAAATAAAAAAAAAGAGAGAAAAGCATCCAGATAATTGAGTGTGGCTTATTTGGAGAGCTGACTTTCCTCTGGGTATTTCTTCCATACACCACAGTGATGGATTTGCTGACATATCTACAATATTTTCCTTCATGTCATCAATTTTCTTATCCATCAATTTTGGCTTATCCCAATCAGATCTCTTACATTCCTTCAAGGGGAGGCAATAAACTACTTGGGATTTGCAGGGTTTATTCCAATAATTATCTGCTTTGTGAAAAGTCTAAGATAGCAACATCCAAGATGGAGCAGACCTTCTGTGTGGGCAATGCTGTTGTCAAGCCTTGGCAGTTCAAAGGAAGTACTCTGTTTGCAGCCATCGTAAGATACTCGCTAAATCATACAAAGGAGAACCAGACTCCACTGCTAGGTTGGTCTTTGTAAGTCATCTAATAAGTCTTTATTTCTCAAAGCTGCTGCCTACCTTGGCCGCAGGAACGTCCGTTGTTACTTCTGCTCTCCTGTTGAAGGTAAGTCCTAAATGGAGAGAGCAAGATCCTCTGGCGGAACTTGTCAACGTAGTTCTGCTCCTCCTTTTGAGTGTGGGCTGACAATGTCTCTTTTGTTAGCCCAACTGGCTTTAAGTCCTCAGGTACCATAGTGAGACTCTGAGCATTCACAGGAGGCAGCTCAATTTGTTCACTTCCAACAGTAGTATCCTCCATTGTAGTCACTTCTTTGAAGAGGGAAGAAAATAAGTCACTCACTCTTTGCTCTGGCCTTCTGGTGTGAACTCCCACAACACCCAGAGGGTTACATAGAAAACAATCTCATCTGAGCTACTGAGCAGATACAGGCTGCAGAGGCAGGGGGAGAAAACACCCTTTACACTCAAATATAGTTACACCAACATCAACTGAGCAAATTACTTTGCGTGGTCCGGAAAACTTCAAATTCACTTTGAAGTTACAGAGGCAGTTCTTTCTTCATACTTTCTTAGTACAACAACAGTTAAATAGTAATTTTTATGCTTCTTTCTGCATTAAAATGAAGTAACGCTGGCCCATTAGTCATTTATGTTTTAATCCTCAATGGCGAAAAGCACATTGTTGTGTTTGAGATACATGTGATGAAGTTAAAGGGGAAAGGAAATAGTGCACTCTGTTAAACTAGGTTTTATTAAACTACTGTAAAAATTTCCAGGCTCAAGTTTTCTTCACAGTGTCCCTAGAAATACCCTAATTATATTTCAGAGTTCATATTCACGAGAACTTATCTCAAATGGACAATCTGTGTACTTCAGTCTGGAAACATTGTATAAATTTAAAAATCAGTGAGTCAAGTCAGTGTTTTGCGAGTGTGAACAGTACCTGATTCAGGGTGTGGGACATGCACTATAGTGCTGCTGTAACTGCATTGGCTGGTGACAGACACCACACTTGGAGCCTTGTTGGACAGGGTCAGGTCTGCCAGAGGAGCTCCCGCCATGCCTGCAGTTGTCTGGTCTTTCAGCATCTCTTCCCGATCAACAGATATTGGAGTTTGGGCATTAACTGCTGAAAGGATAGCAGTATTTATTAGTAAATGACAAAGTTTCTACATGGAATTTCATCCCAAGCACTATGCTCCCAATTCATCAAGTCTGACTCGTTCAGAAACAACCAGTAACTACGCAGACTATTAAATAAGACAGTCTTATATACAAATAAATGTAATATTCATATGCCAGTGCAACGTTAGCACATACTAAGCATGGCATAAAATGAGTGAGCAACAGAAGGTTCATTTAGCAACAACAAACAATAGTTCTTTTGATGCGTTCTACATTCAAAGACTTAATATTGTAGCTTGCACTTAATTGTGAGTTCTAGACAAGGTAAGCAAATATTTACCACATAACCAAAATATTTGTGCTGTTAGCGTGACAATAATTTAAAAAGTGGACATAAACCTTGGAATGTACAACAGTGGCATATAAAAAAATAAATTAGTTGTTTCGGTTCTATTATGATTGTCAGTATACTTTTGTGTTACCTTCCAATGCCTTGGCTTCCTGCTGACTTTGCTGGACTTGCTTGTCATCTTCTGAAGATGACGATGATGTATTAGCAGAAGATTTACATTTCCTTTTCAATGCTGGAACACTGCAGCTCTCTAGATATCTGAAATAAAAGCATATCACAGGAAGCTCTCCCTACTTTGTGTTTTTTCTCCATTTGGAGAGACAAACATTTGAACAATCCAAACTGGAGATCCAGGGGTTGTTAACTAGTATTTTAAATTCACTGCAGAAAGCTCTGGACACGTATCTGCTTTCCAAGGAGTATTTTAAATAAAATCTATCAACTACTCTTTAAAAAAAAAAAAAAAAAGAAAAAAGAAAAAAGACAACATTATCCCCTGGGTTAAAAAATACCAACATTTTATAAATTCTATCAACTTTCTGTTTTATATGGATGTTCTCAAAGCGTACATTGAGAAGACATTGACATATTATGCCCATCGAAATTCTCTTAAACTCCTATTGCGTCAATGGTGAAACTAGCAGCAGACAAACATCAATAGTTGCAAACAGAATCTTAGGCCCTAAATTCTTTGTTACTGTGTAATTCAGATTGACTGAGCATTGGGGATGGATTGCCCAGAGAGGCAGAAAGCTTTACAAACAATCCCAAAATTTATCTCACAACTCAAAACTCAGACAGTTTAGACCAATGCAAACTGCTTGGATATTTACCTTCCACCAATTAATCTTAAACTTGTATCACTAAAATAGCTTCATAGTTTATTACCTGATGATACTATCAACACAATTGATCTGCTGATAGGAAGGAACACGTGGAGTCTTCTTTGAATCATCATAAAATGCATTGCCTGGTTCTTCTGTGCTATCACTTCTCAATGTCTGAAGAAAACAGGAAGCAGCGTGCCTCTTCCCTAGAAAAGAATAAATCCTCAAAGACTGCTCTCAAAGGCATCTAAACACTACCCCCACCAAGACACACGTATATATATACACTTGGATACATATGTACTATACAGGGATATATGGCCTATGACAGCACAGCTCTCATTACTAAGTTATTCTGTGTTTTCATCTCAATTCACATGTTTCAAGGCAGGGGAGGGAGAAGGGGAAAAGAATGCCTAAAAAGAAAAAAACTCCACACAACACCTTAAACACTGACTCAGAACAACTAGCAAACACAAAGAAAACAGCATAGAAAAAAAATATTGTATTTAAATTGTGAACAAAGCTGCAAGTAACATTACTCTTCTCTCAATTTACACATCACAGAATCCAATCTGTTATTTAACAGTAATTTACAGCTTTTCATAGCATAGATACACTGGTCAGAGTAGTATCAACATTCACAGTGCAGTCCTCTTCTCAACAAGGCTAGAAGTTAATTGTAACTTTTGTAGAGAGTATCACAGTGCAAAATGTTTTAATACAGATTCCTATGATATTTGAGGAAACATCCGGTTTTCTCCATATATTTGTGTTAGGTACTGACTGCAAATAATGTGCGTTAGCATAATATTAAGCACTCAGTAACTAAACCACTACTTCAGTGGGAAGTGGGGGAGTGTTTTCCAACCCAGGGATTGTTTCTGAGAGTCCACATAAAGCAACTAAGGGAAGCTTCCATAGTAGACTTATACTTGCTACAAAGCAAGTCTGCATTTTCACTAGAAAATGTTAAAATAAAAAAAAAGTAAAAGTCTATTAACCTAGAAAGAGACAAAAATGTTCCTCCACATCTCAGGGAGCCGTAAAAAGTTATTGCATCTGCTGAGGGTTTTTTTGGGGTGGTTTTTGTTTTTTTGGTTTTTGATTGTTTAAAAAAACCCCAACCAAACAGAAAACAACAAAACCACTTCCCACATTTAAGCCATGCTAAAATGCTATCTTAAGTTCTTCAGTATAACACCAGCTAGCCAAACTCATGGCTATAGATGTACAGGAGTTCATGTTACCTTAAGGATCATAATTACATTAACTTACCTCCTAGAATTTCTGAGCTCACAGCCTGTTCATTTCCATTCTGTGGCTTGCTCCTTGACGCAATATACAGCTGCTGTCCCAGATTCTTTATTCGGTTGACATCTGCACAAACTTGTTGCAATGTCATCTTGAGATACATGAAAATGTGAAGTCAGAATAAAATGAATAAAAAGAGGCCACAGGAGACCATTAAGATGGGCTTGGGTTCTTGTATTCTCCAAACTGAAAGGGAGTAGACTGTCAGCCTAAGCCTGGTATCTATTGGTATTAGTAAATTTAATGAATCTAATTATCGTGGTTAATTTAATTAAATTAACTATATGACAAAGCTCAAACAGCCTCAGCATTTGAGTGTTTTAACACTGACGCAAGCCTTGAGAGTGGGAATAAGCTGATGACTTACCCAGGAGCCTCACAAGGAAATTAGGTAATTGCAATGCTTGTTTTAGGACAGCACTGTTTCCACTCTCTTCTATAGTAGTCTACACTGTACCTCTAGTGCCCTTTTTAAAACAAAACAGAAAATCCCAAGCAAACAGAAACCCCTCCACATGCATCAATCCTCTTTCTGGTTCCATGGTTCTTCCACTTTTTCCTCTCTAAGTCCACTGGTTCTTTGAGAAGGCTGATGTTAAGCAAGTCTTCAATTTACTTTAGTGAACTACCATAGTAGTTACCTGCTCCTAATTTTGCTGACTAAAATGAGCAAAAACCAAAAGCCAGCATTCTATAATTGACCAATTTAAGTACATTTAGCTTGAACATAGCTGTTTCTTCCCACTTCAGTAAAATTCATGATGAGTAGTGCATATGTACACAGTAACAACTGTCATTTTTAAAACTGTATTTTTACTACTCTGCAGGCAGTGACATTTATAGACTTACTGGTTCCTGTATTTCCTCTGCACAATTCCCATTGGAGTCACTTGAAGATGCTATGCTGATATAGTGTTCATAAGAGCCATTGCTTCCAAGGCTTCCATAACCACTGGAAACATTGCTGTGAACTGGCTGTATGAGGGGGGGGAAAAAAAAAGTAATTAAAAAAAATCATCCTCTTGAAGAACAAAAAAGAGGGAACAACATACTTTGCAACACAGAACTTCAAGTAAACAAAGAAAATTAAGTGAAAAGTCAGTATTGCTCTGGGCTCTACCACTTGCTTGGGAAAAATTCTCTACCATGCTTAAAGCTGTTTCAGGATGCAGCTTTATCTTTCAACATAAAGACTTGGCAAATATGTCAAACAAAACATTTTTTTCTAATCAGGTGGGCTACCCAGAGCCATATTTTTAATGCTGTCATACAAGCCCGTCTCCATTAGAACTTTCCTTTCAGGCCTTTTAAAAGATCATCCCCAAAGTAGTCTGCTAAACAGACCCAAGCTTCTTTAGCCTCTCATTCAGAAGGCCAGCTGGCGTTTTGAAATTCTTTCATCTTCTTTACCTGCAGAAGCAGCTTGTAAATTTGTCCTTGCAATTCTCTTATCTCTTTCTCAACACTGCTCGTTTCTTTACTTCTTGCAGCAAAGACATCTTCATTCAGAGGGCTTCTGGAGACAGCCAACAAAATTTCACTATTAATTTTAATTTGATGAAGAAAAGGTAGCCATAAACAGAGTTAGAACAGATTCTTCTTTTTATTATCATTATTTTATTTTGACTGCTTCGCTGAATCAACACAAAGGGATGTCATCTGTTCCACTAGCAGCTCTGCTAGGGTAGTGGGGCAAGTGCTATGAGAGCAGTGCTTTATGTGAAATCCCAGGGAAGTCAGTACAGCAGCACAGTGACACGAGTTAAGGTTGACAAGCATCTACCCCTCTGCCTCCTTCGCTCAGAAGACAAACTCACACCCCATAAAAAAGTCAAAAGGCCATCCCAAAAAGCCATTTCCTAGAAAAGAAACCAGGTAAGAGGAAGGCAGACAGTCATATTTCCAAATCTCTTGGCAACAGGAAAAACATCTGAAAAATTAACTTGCACATTCAATATTACATGCATTTTTAAAAGAGGTTACCTTGGTAAATATTTAGATTCTGTATCAAGTGAATGTTCCAGAAAAAAACAAGCCAGAAGGTGATTTTGGCTATATGTCTGTCAATTGATGTTTTTTTTGTGAGCCAATCATGAATGAATGTCAACTAATTATTTGTTAGTTATCTACTTTTTACATTGATTTTTAGCTTTTACTCGGCTTGTCTAAAACTGATATTTTGATTTAGACACGTCCATTGTCACAGTATTTGGACATCAACCATGTGCAAAAACATATGCTAAAAAAAAGTTGGCTTTGCCTTTTACTTCAAAGTAATTTACTTATTTTCATAGTTAATAAACAAGTCTAATGCTGTTCTGATGGAACGGGCTGCAAGACAGATGCTAGGTAGTTCTCATAGACTGCAGGAGCAACATTACGTCTCTAGTTCAGTACTGAGACTGTTTTGTTTTGCAGAGTATTCAATGAAAAGCACTTTAATAGATCAATTCTATATCTGACTTACGTCCGGACTTTGTGTCGGCCAATGATGAACACTACTTTCCTGCTCCAAGGATTCACAAAACTGGACCAGCTGGTATCCAGTATGACATAATCCCCATTTTGAGTACAAAATCTAATAGGTAAATGTTCAAAAGGGGGTTGGCCAGCAAATTTCAGGACTGGAAAAAAAAAAAAAAGAAACAAGGTTTAGTTTATGTTATGACACAGTAGTGCAAGTACAAACACTAACAACTGGGGTCTTTTAAAACTTGGGGTTTGAATTTGCTTTGATCTCAAACTAGTTGCTTTAATTCATTAATTAATTTATTTTTGTCTAGACTGCAGATCAGTCACACGTCAAGCAATATGATAATGAAGAATGTTAAAACCAGTAGAAATTCCTTTTAAAGCAACTAAACTTACTTTTCCGGTGAATAGCAATCATCAAAGGACGATCTTCTGGGTGCAAATACATCAGTATGGATGTTCCAATTAAATCTTGAGGTAAGTAACCCAACAAAGGCACTGCTCTGAAACCCAAACACATTATCACTGATTATAATATAGTTTTGAGTATTTACATCCTTAATCCTTTGCTTGTCAGTTAAGTCCCCATGCATGATCTACAATGGCATGAACTAAGGCTACAGAACATTTTCCAGCCCATCTAATAATCCTCCAGTGCAATGCAGACATGTAAATACCAATGACAAACATTTCTATGCCTGGAGATCTAACAGATTTTCACATTTGCAGGCAGTTTTGTGCTTGTCTATAGGAAAGAAAAAAAAAAAGAAAAAGGGATCTTGAAGAAACAGGTCACAGGCAAAGTGTCAGTAAGAAATCTGACATGGATACTGCAAAGTGTGTTATAGAAACAGTCTTGTGGCTTTGCAGGAGACAGCTTTAGTCTGGCCACATTTATTCAACCCAGCTCAGTACAGCTGTATCTTCACACTGCAATCCCCAGAGCTTTGCATTGTGTGGGTTTTCCACTGTCTGTGTTACCACAGGTCCCCATTGCCCTGGATAACGAAAACTGACTGCAGTTCTGTTTAATTCACATTTTAAGTCAACAAAGGGGATTAGGTCCGTGGAGTTCTAGATGTTTTTCCATGAGTGGACTAACACAAAAGTACTTTGTTTAACTAACTATTGCCAACTGCACAGCTCAACTACTTTACTTGGGTCTCCAGCTGCATCACCAAAGGATTTTTTGCTACCTCTCCATACACACCTCACAGGCCTTAAGATTCAAATCTCACCTGTCATCTATCTCAAGAAAAACACATCCAGGGGTGTGAGTGGTGGTGAAGACTCTTTTGTCCATAGGAATTCGAGGAGCTAATAGAAAAAGAAATATTTACTGAAATAAAATATGCACTAAGACAGAAAACCTAACCGTTACTTTTGCTCACGATAGAGAGTTACCGGCTCCTGAATTTTTTAATTGTTCACTGCTTTCCGACCAGTAACTCACAGAAACATTACAAATTTTTAGGTGCTACAGACTTCTCTCAAAAATAAAAATAGTGAGAAGAGGTCAAACGCTTCAGGGCCTTCCAAAGAAGGCACACATGTTCTGCATTCACATGCATACACATACACACAAACCGAAAGTTACATGGGTGAGACTACCCAAGCACAAGTTCTAAACAAAGGAAGCAGACTTCCATGTACTGCATTTTCCTATTGGCTTGTTTTTTTCACTGAAGTCTCCTGACTTGCCTTCATATCCAGAGTGAATTTTCTCAGCCAAAGCTAAGCAGCAGGATTCTGCATCCACATGGACAGAAGTACACACATGGACCAAGTATGGGGTGATTCGGAAGGGGTAACAACACGTTTCTCGTTCTTCATCTTTACCACCCCTGAGGAAAAGTAAAAGGGATTAACGCACTGGTTCCAAAACCTGGGATACTTTATGCCAGGGCTGAGCGCCCTGCACAGAGAAGTTATGCTGAGCACACAGACCCAGGTAATCAAAATCTCCTGAGGTCCTACGCACACTCCCTCGCGATCCAAGGCCAACACATTCAGCAATACTGGTCTCGCTTCCCTTAAAACCAAGTAGGTATTTTGCCTCCAATACTTGCATTCAGAGGCTGTTCTAGGAATGCCATTACCCTAACGGTTAAAGACCACCTTTAATTCTCAGTCCAAATGTATTCATGAGAACCACTCATTTGGTCTTGTGTTCTCCTTCAAGTTAAACAGTTCTTTTTCTGTTTGTTGTTTATTCTGTACCATTTTTAGGGAGGGAAAAAAAAAAAAAAATCTGTCTGTCTCAAGTTTTGTTTCACTGACCTACATAAGTAAGACTCCTCCAGCCTCGGTTCACAAGTAGTTGTTGTTCTTTGATTGTCCTCCTCCCATGAGAACTTGTCTTCCTAGAACACGTGTGAGCAGTAGCAGCACACAACAGGAGATGATGAGATCTTAAGCAGGGCTTTGTAACAACTGCATTAGTGATTGCCTGTTTCTGTTGCAAGTGCTTTTTCACCTAATTGCAGTATCTTACCCAGCTCTGACAGAAAGAATTGAGGTAACTTTTAGTGTAAATGATAATGTCCAAAAAAATTACTTTCTTATTCCACACTTAGTCTTGTAAAATGTTTCTAGAGAGAAGTCAGTGTCATAAAAACTACTACTGACAGCTCCCCCTTTTTTTTTG